AACATTGAAACCAAGCGGTCTAAACCAAGAAGACTAGAAAATGAAAACTATGCACTAGTAGAATTTAACATTTTCTAAATCTTCTTATTATCCTTCAATTTTTACTATAAGAATAACCGGTATAGAATCAAATATCCGGGATATAATCTGCGTTACATATGTACACAAAGTAAAAATAGATGTCGCTTTGGCTTGTAGACTTTTAGGGAATTATACAACGTTTTCAGTTTCCGCAACTAGTCTATACAAGCTTGTTGTATTTATAGTTTTAGCACATGTGAAGATAGAAATGTAGAGGTTTACAAACACAACGTTTTTGTGTTTATTTGTTTGTCGTAACTATGTTTTGTATTTGCCTTTGAAAAAGACTCATTAAGAGTCGAAAGCGCTTAGGCTAGTTAGTTACTAGTTTCGTACTGTTCGTCGTCAGTTTATTGCATATATATATATATATATATATATATATATATATATATATATATATATATATATATATATATATATATATATATATCGACTGCATGGCTGGAGGAGATTCTTGTCACATAACTATATATAACTATATTATCTGGGCAACTGCATTTACTGTTCGTTAAGTCTTCAACTGCTCTTTTCACTACTTCTATCATAATAGCAATAATTTATTTTCTCATTAGTTGCACTAACAGTTGGTCCTCAAGCAGGATGGCATACTTAAAAGTCTTCAGTTAATTTATTAAGCAGGTATTTGTTTGAAACCAGACACCTAAAAAGTTGCCAGTATTTAAATCATTTTGCTTTCGCGCTTCTAGTAGTTTATTTCTTTGGCCATCTATAAATCTTAACCAAATTTGTAAACATGTGTCTTATATGATGATTGAATATTGACCAAATGCTTTCGATTTTCTTTTGACACATTGTTTCTATTTACGTTTCAACGTTTACAACGTTATATTTGCTCTCTTATATATCCAGCATCATCAGAAGAGAGACTTTAAATCGAATGTCTGTACTTATGAATGTGCTCAGACATTTGGAAATGCACCATCTTGCCATCTAAATAATTGCCTCTGAGAACTACGTAATAGTTTTTAATTTTATTTTTTATGACGGACATTAATATTCGAGATATGCTTCAACATTTTATAAAAATGTTCTCTGTCCACTGGGGAGCTTAAATTTCATTTATAGATGCATTAATTGCATCAAGCTTATAGGTATATTTTGAATCAAAAGTATTAGTACATTTCTCAGAAGTATTGATAATACAAAATAATTTTTAAACAGACGATAAGATTAAAAATATTGTTGTGCTGCATTGTGCTTCAGTGCTGGATAGCGATATAACTGGAAAATTGTTAAAGCTTTGTCTAAAAAATGAATCCAGACAAATTCTTTCTAGAACCTATGATGCTAATAAAATGTGACTGACACAAATAAGAAGTGTCAGTACGTTTAGGCTCACATGTATAACACATGTTGCTGGAGGCATCATTTGTTTCACAAATTACTACAGTGATTTTAGGACCTAATTCTTCGTAAGGATATTACGTAAGTATATCATATCCTCTGGGTCTCTAAAGTTACTTGAAGGTTTTGGGGGTGGGGATAATGTACTGTTTTGTAAGATCATGTGATTGGTTGTGAAAAATCGGTAAAAACAATTATCGTGCATAATCAGATAATTTTGCTTTACACATTTTCTTATTGCCCTCAAGGGCCAGTACTCATTCCTTAAACACAAACCTTTATCGTGATGTGTAGACTAAAGCTTTTGAAATTATATTTTGTTGTCCATTTATTGCCTTCATGTTTGCTTCAAATTTATATCATTTTCTACATTTTCTATCACATTCATAAAATATGTTACAGCTAAAGGTGGCCTAGTGGTTAGAAACCCTGCTGTGTCATACCAAAGACTTTTAAAAATGGTACTATCAGCCGCCTCGCTTGGCGCTCTGCAATAAGAGGTCAGTGTTAGGACTGGTCGGCTAGATGTCAGGATAATGTGACTGGGTGGGATATCATGAAAATTGTCTGCGGCATGATGACCCAGTGCAAGACATCACTATAAACTGTTAACCTGCAGACATTGTAGCGATATGACTGAAAAATTGTTAAAGCTACGTTAAAAATCTAAATAACACACACGAACACACACACACTCTCTCTCTCTCAATCACACACACAAACACACACACACACAACTAAAGCTTCGAATTCGGTATCAGGTTGTATGTAAGGTTTAGAAATGACTTAAGGTTGTTTCTGCTGGTGTTACAGCTACCTATTATAAGCTTGTGTTGAACTCTCCAGGCAATCTGCCACTCTGTAATTCAGTAGGACCCCGATCAAGTCTACACAGTCGTTTAGATTCGTCATTGAATTTAATTTCCTTTTGAAAGAAACGGTCTGAATTAATATACTATAGATATGAACACCATAATGGATTTTTAAGGTTCACATGAGGGTTTCAATATTCTGTAGAATATAATTTTAGTATTTTGCCGCTACATTGCAATCGTGCCAGAATCGAGAAATTGGAAAAAATGGCACGAAAGCAGAATTAAAATGGATGACTTCACATTTCCGATTCTTATTCTTTTTTTCAGCGTTTTAGTGGATGATTAAGTCATATATCATTTCAATGATTCTGATTATAAGCATTAAATCAGGAAAAAAGAATGTTTCTATATCATTTATTTTACAGTGCTTGACATTTCAAAATGATTTCATTCTTGATTGTATATTCTGCAGAGCTTGATAACTTTGCATGATTATCAGCATTTTTCTTTTTCTCAAATCAACAACCAAATTAATTATTAAAATATTAAGCAATATTGATTCTTTTTAAAAAATTTTAATTTCTCATATAATTTAATGACATCAATTGGATTATTACATAATTTCCTAGCAAGTTTAGGTATTTGTTACTTTACTCATGCATACTGCCTTTGAGGGAATTATTTTTTTTTAGTTTGGCAAAATATTTTCCTTTTCTACTTAACTTTCCACAGCCACACCCTAATATACTGGAAAAAAATTTCAGCTATCAATTCTGAATTTTTATTTTACTTTTAGTATCGTTTTAGAACTTTTCTGAAAGAAGAAATTGAAGTCAGTTCTATATCATTTATGTCTATCCTATTAGAGGTATCTTTATGTATCTTCCTTATTTTCTCTTAGACAATCTACAAGCTCAATGAACGTTCGTATTAAAGTGTTACTCTTGAGTTGTTAATAAAAATTAACGTTCATAAACCCTGAATGATTACAACATAATACACGCATTAGTTGTTACCTCTCTAAAGAATGACACATTATTGCCACGGATTAGATGAAGCCTCAGTCTGACGAGAATTCAGAAGCATTTTGATTCATTACTATACAAAGTACGTTATCCTCCACCACGCTGCTTATTAAGCCCGAAGCAGATTAAAGATGTGACTTAGCTTTATATATTCGCACCAGGAATTGGTGCTCTCAGCGTCTATGACGAGGATCGCGTGTAAACTGTTAAGTCTCATTAAAAACAATTTCCGTCATAAGCCCTGACGGGTTCGTGTCAAAAAGTCAGTCTATACGGATTGGCAAAGCTTATACGAAGCCTCGATATGCTTATGCATGTATGTATGTGTTCAACCTATAGCTGGTTACTTCTATTCCTAAAGCCTGTTTGAATCAAACAGATTGCTAGTTCTCAATGCTTGATATGGAATTATAGGAGGTTATTAGACAGACCTCATTCAATAGTGCACCTCGTAAAAGCAGGAAAACATAAAGCGGACTGAATCTTTGATACTAGATTAGCATTGTCTCGCATTATCAAAACCCAGTTGTGGGTTATATAGAGAAAAGTCACAATGTTATGACTGGTATTGTGGCTATAAAATGCAATTGCATATAAACTGAGCATGTTGAAAAAATAAATTCTAATCCAAGTCAACTTGACAGTCAATCAATCAAGCAATAGATCAATTAATTAATAAGCTTTATTAACATGATTTCATAGCCACTCTCCATATTCGGTTCTTTGCTTTATCAAAAAAAAAAAATAGATGAAGAGATATTAATGTCTTCGTTGTCAACAACGGCTGTGTTGACGCAGTGTTAACGATTTTATGTAGCTATTTTTTTTTCTCTACCTGTACACGGGAAACTAACTATACTTAATGTTTCAGCGTGGAAAGTTTTGTTTTTTCATTAAAATCATTTCAGTCTCATAGATTATAGATGATGGAGGTCAAACTTCGCATATTCTATCTGTCTGAAATATTTGTATCTTTCAATAGAATTCAATGAACATTTACGATAACATTTGCTTTTGTCTTTGAAAACATTTTTTTGAACATGAAGATATTTATGTAATCAGTATAGAGCCGTGTGTCCATCCATCCATCCATCCATCCCTAATTGCTGGTTCTCAAAATTTTAATTATATTCCATTAGTGAATATACGTTTGATATTTTGTCAAGGTCACGATTGTATTTTATGGATGCTCTCAAAAAGAGTTCAGTATAAATGAGCTTGTGTATCTACGTTAATAAGTAGGTTAATGAAAAGAAGAAAGAATAATCACGTAATCCCGTTTAAAACCTTCTTGATGAAGCGATCTTGGTCACAAACACGTTATGCTGAATCTAAACTGCCCGAACCCCCATTGAACATTGCAAGGCTTCTATTGGGATTCTAGCTTTTAGCAATTAGGTTTTAGCTATGATGGAGAAAAAAAACCTGTGTTTGATTTGCTACTGTTTGTTTTACATGTTCAAGCTTGGGTCTTTTTTATACAAGAGAAAATATTTCCGACAGTATGACATCTTGGACGCATGTAATATTTTCATTTCTTGCTGCTTAGGATGTTCGTCACGAAATTCTATTGAGATGTGAATGAATTAATCCAAATGCGTAATTTTCAGCACAAATTCAATTCAATATTGCAATCTCTCTCTCTCTCTCTCTCTCTCTCTCTCTCTCTCTCTCTCTCTCTCTCTCTCTCTCTCTCTCTCTCTCTCTCTCAGATATTGTGGCATAGTGATTAGAGCGTTCGCTTCGGATGCGGAAGGTAGCGGGTTCGAACCCCGGCAATTCATACGGAAAACTTATAAAAATGGTACTAACAGCTGCCTCGCTTGGCATTCAGTATTAAGAGGTTAATGTTAGGACTCATGCCCCCGTGCTAGACATTACTCTAAACTGTTACACTGCAGGCATCGTAGATATATGTCTGAAAAACTGTTAAAGAAATGTTAAAATTTTAATTTACACACATTCACTCTCTCTCTCTCTCTCTCTCTCTCTCTCTCTCTCTCTCTCTCTCTCTCTCTCTCTCTCTCTCTCTCTCTCTCTCTCTCTCTCTCTCTCTCTCTCTCTCTCTCTCTCTCTCTCTCTCTCTCTCTCTCGTACCGACACAAGATTCTTGAAAAAGTAAAAACCCAATATCAATATGAAGTGCGTGCTGTTGGTATTTGTTGTGGTGCCAGAAATAAAATATGCAAGATAGTGAATCAAATTCAAAACACTTCCATTTGCTTTATTTAGTTATGAATGGGCTATTAGGATTGCTTTATTTAGTTATGAATGGGCTATTAGGATTGCTTTATTTAGTTATGAATGGGCTATTAGGATTGCTTTATTTAGTTATGAATGGGCTATTAGGATTGCTTTATTTAGTTATGAATGGGCTATTAGGATTGCTTTATTTAGTTATGAATGGGCTATTAGGATTGCTTTATTTAGTTATGAATGGGCTATTAGGATTGCTTTATATAGTTATGAATGGATTATTGATAAGGAAAGACACTAAGAGGATATACCATTTAATTAAAAGTATTGATGATACGTACCAATAGGTACATGCATCATGATAAATGTAGTTAATTGATAGAGAATATTACATTTTCAGAGACTATTCAATTCACTGTTATTAATTGTTTACTTGGAATAGTTTCAATGTTGAATAGTTACAGAATGATTACAATTACAAAATGAAAGCTCTAGTAAGACTTTTAAATGTTCTGACGTGTCTGGAGTCTTGAAGGTGCTAAGGTGCCAATGGCATGGAATGTTGCGATGCGTTAACAATTTGTTTTTGATAAAACACAATAATATTATCCAGAAATGTCCACGACTGAATTCACTATAATTTCATAATAATGATTTAGTCCAAGAAGAATTAATCAGCACTTTGCCATTCTAGTGAATAGTTCAAATAAATAAATTTACCCAAATTAAAAATTAAACACATTATTAAGACTGATTCCACGTAGGATATTAAGGTATAAATGAGTAATGTTTCAGTTGAACAACATTGATATAAAAACCTAAGACACTATAGAATCAGAATGTAGGTCTATTTTCTTTCAAAAACAATCAAAGTTGTCAGCATGTTTATGAATTTCATAACGATACACTTTATATCATATGCTCAGATACAAGATTTTAATGATGATGTGAATATTTAACCTATATTCATAGGGAATATGCCTTTGAGCTATGTATTACGTTGTTTACAAAAGAAATTTCACCAGTTAGGTGAACAAATAACTTGATTTTGGACAAAGATCAGGTTCAAATTAAAAATACACCACCTAGTCATTATCATGGAGTAAAGACAATGCAAATTATATTTTAAAAAATAAGATGTTAAACTGTCATGAAATTATTGCGATTAATAATTGATTTTACGAAGGCGCTATTGCAGTTTAAATAATAGTGATATAATAATACAAGAACATGTATGCTTTAAGAACTCATTAGGTAATTTTAACAAAAGATCATGAGGTTATATTATTATATTATGCTAAGTGTGAAGATGATGAATTGCGACAATACCTATAAATTTATCATTGTCGAATGCTCTGTCTCTCTTGTTGCTTTCAAGCAAAAGTCTGATGAGTATATATAATATAAATTCAATTAACAAGGTAACGACACCTTGCTCAAGGTCACTTTACAGAGTATTATTTTCCAAATTAAAAAGAACGTTCTAACAATCTAATTGCGCGTAATGCATATTAGAAATGAACTAAAGTGCATGTTATGCAAATTCTAGTGCGAAATATGTTCCCAACTGATCTTTTCGTCATAAATCTGTGTCCTTCTAAGACCTGCCCAGTGATAGCATGCTCTCATTAATGAGGATTCAATTGCTGACCTTTTGGCAAAACATGGATAAAGGTTGTGTATCTCTGAAAGCCATTAATAACAGGAAGGGGTTTCAGACTTAGACCGGAAAAATAACGTCTCTAAGGAGTATTAAAACGGATAAAATATAGACTATTCGGCTCCACAGAGGTGAAATTATTAATGTAAATAACAAAGAGCAATCACCCTCAAAATTTATTGCATTTAAGAGAATCCGTAAATACTATTTTGATTCATTTAAGGTTTTTGTAGTCTATCTGTCTGTCTTTCGACATACATACATACATACATACATACATACATACATACATACATACATACATACATACATACATACATACATACATACATACATACATACATACATTCATACATACATACATACATACATACATACATACATACATACATACATACATACATACATACATACATACATACATACATACATACATACATACATACATACATACATACATACATATTTATACATGCATGCATGCATGCATACATACATACATACATACATACATACATACATACATACATACATACATACATACATACATACATACATACATACATACATACATACATACATACATACATACATACATACACACACACACATACATACACGGTTAGTTTCTCTCTTTCATGTCCTCGGATTTTGATCTCTGTTCAATTTTATTTACCTAATTTCAGACTTCTTCCCTCAAGCAAGTGCAATTATGGCTTATACAGTCTTACTAACGAATATTTCTGATTTCATATGACTTTTAATTTTTTATTTTTTATTTATATATTTTTCTGCGCTGAATTTGTTATAATTATTGCTTGGTTCATGAACTTTACAGTGCCTAATTGTTAAAACCATGTAAAAATTATACTATTGAATAGTAGGCGATTATTATACAACTTCATGCATCATTACGCCTTACAAGTATTGTACTGTTTTTAATCCTGCAAAACGACACACTATAATAGGAGACGATGAATATTATCCTTATTTTAAAAAAAAATATTCAGAAAAAACATACTCTTGAATAAGAGGCGATGATTATACAAATCACCGTATCATGATGTATCGTAATTCACTATTCCTGTAAAAGAGAGAGAGTGCTTGCTAATCTTATCCAATGGATAATGTATACAGTCTTAATCGCATGTCATTTTTCTTGTACTTTATTTTTAATCAACCGCCAAAATAAGTAGCCAAGGAAAAAGTTCCAATAATGCCAAAATTTTGTGTTTGTACACAAAAATTAGCTGTTCTTGATGTCTCAAAACATTTGCAACATCTAGTCTCCTACATCACCTTATTACATTTTCCCAAAACTGGGGATCAGTTATCATACACACTGAATTTGCACTTTGGATATTTAGTTACCTTTCCCTATGCGGCTTCTACTACAAGATCATACTTTCCAGTGATAACAGATTGCTGAGTTCAACTAGTCCATTAACGTTTACAACGTCTATAGTTTTACAAACCTAAATGTTTAAGCTAACTCGCAAGAAATACGTACATGAAGCAAATGAACTAAGGTTTAGCTAGATGGATCTCCTTTCATGACAAGTCACAGACATTCACATAAATCACTGAGCGCGTGTGGTCACTTTGAAGTATGACCTTATCTTTCCATTTTATGGTCTATTGTTGACAGACCCCTGAAGCAATGTTTTCCAGACCTAGTACTCTGTACAGGCGTTGGCAATGTATATTATCATTGCGCATGAATTGCGAGGCCTCGATGCTTATCTAAGGCTGGTACAATTCTCCTCCATGAAAGAATCTTGACCTTACGACGATAGGGACGCTATCCACAAAATTCGATTGATATAAAAACAGCGGGCATAAATTGATAGCATAATCTAATCGTTGTAGCCCTTTGTTTATGGTTCAATCACGTCATTTGGCTATGGCAACGGGGGGAGAAACACTTCAAAAAATGTATACGGACTTTATACCAGTATTTACTATTTACTATTTAGACGCTATGTTCACTAGTATATATTAGTTGTCACACTGTATATTAATTTATGTCATGCTGCATTATGTGTTTGAAAAAAAAAACCTTTTTTTACCAGGTTTGTCCTCGTTTGGTTTTGTTATATGCATTTTTATTTGTTAGTTTTTTTCTCCGTGATTATAAGTTATATTGTACCTATTACCTGACCTTTATATTTGTACCTATTACCTGACCTTTATATTTGTACCTATTACCTGACCTTTATATTTGTACCTATTACCTGACCTGTATATTTGTACCTATTACCTGACCTTTATATTTGTACCTATTACCTGACCTTTATATTTGTACCTATTACATGTACTTTATATTTGTACCTATTACCTGACCTTTATATTTGTACCTATTACATGTACTTTATATTTGTACCTATTACCTGACCTGTATATTTGTACCTATTACCTGACCTTTATATTTGTACCTATTACCTGACCTTTATATTTGTACCTATTACATGTACTTTATATTTGTACCTATTACCTGACCTTTATATTTGTACCTATTACATGTACTTTATATTTGTACCTATTACCTGACCTTTATATTTGTACCTATTACCTGACCTTTATATTTGTACCTATTACCTGACCTGAGGCACTGATGATTTTTTTAGTTTGGTAAACACATGATAGCTATCTTATATTTCTATAGGCGTGTCGGTGTAACCTTAATCTGATGATCAACAAAAGTAAACATATTTACTATGGTCTGGATCATGGTTATTACAATTAACCGATAAATATACCGTGCGTACCTGATGTTTACAACATCCTTATTATAATTTTGGTAACAATTTTAAGAAATAGGTATGTTCTAAAATGGGAAATTCCATTGTCATATTATTTCCAGAAAATGCTAATTGTGACCTAGGCCAAGTAAAGGGCATTATATTCGTGTTTATCAAAAAATTACTCATT